CGATCGGCCGCTGCCCCGGCGGCAGGGCTGAGGCCGGGCCCAGCACGCTGCCCCGGGGAGAGCCGAGAGCTCGCTGGAGAGGGAGGATTTTTGCGCTGAAGGAACTGCTGCGGCTCCGGGCCTCGGTGGAAGAGGCCAAGGCCTTTCCAGATAAAATGCTGAGCGGTGGCACTGTGAATTCGGCAGCGGCACAAAAAAGATGCTCCTTACCGCTGTCCTTAAGAAACCTGGGCCCGAGGAGGAAATACCGGGTGACCGTACGCGTTACAAATTGGTTTGGGTTATTCCTCAGTGTTGTACTTGTCCCCGCTGAATCCGGATCTGGTTTCTCTGCAGCACTCCAGCATGTCGGTGCCTTTTGAATTCTCGTCTTGGCCTGCAAAATGGTTGGCCAAGAGCTTGGTCCCTTCTTGGCTTCTGTCCTCTGCAAATACAGTAAATATATCTGTTTCATCATTTGGGTCGTTAAAACAACAAAGAGACCTGTAGCCAGGACAGATGCTACCTGGTGGGTTTTTTTTTTTTTAATAATATTAATATTGGAGCACTGATACTTGTTCTGGTTAGAGTTTTGGTTCTCCAGCCAGTTTACACCAACTCTGTAGAAGTTGCATCAAAGCCATGTTTCTGTTCCTTATGTCGTCTTGAGATTTGCTTAAATCTTTAAGATACAAGTCATCTACTGCTTGTCTCCCACCTACAAGGCTTGTAAGCATGTTGTGGAAGGAAATTAGGTCGGTTTGACATGATTTGCTCTTGACAATTCCACGAATAGTCTTTATTCATCTAAGTGGTATTATAGAAGTAATTAAGATCTTGGCACTTTCAGGCCATCAGTTTTCAATGATAAAATACAGTGTAGATAGTGTCTTTTGTTGGTATCTATTGTAATATGTAATGGATCAGAGGATTTTACATTGGTTTAAAGCATTATTATCATAAACATTTTCTCTCTTTGACAGTGAGCAGAATTTTCATCACTATTTTAAATGTTGGGGTGTTTTTACTTTTAATACTAAAAGACCTAATCAAGCATTCTGCTAAAACCCACCACTTTCAAAAGCTTATTCCTGAGATCAGCTACCACAAAAAAATTACAATGACAAAAATAAAATTTGTTGCTATCCTTTAAGTGATTCGCATTCAACCTCTCGCTGTGGTACCCACATGAGTATATTTTGTGTAGCTAGCACAGACACCTGAAGAGGTCAGATAGCTTCCCACTAATTTACCCCACTGCCAAACGAAAATGCAAAAGAATACTGAAAACCAATGAGCCATTTTATTTAAAATTACAATACAGATCTTCCTCAAGGGCCTTTTTTTCACTGCCTTGGGAAACCATGTTACATTTTACCTTGCAAGAAATGTGCATCATTGGTTTTCCTACCTTGAGCAGTTGGAGGCAGTGTTTAAAGTGCAAAATACTATGCATCTCACAGAAATTAAATTGGCAGATGTTACATCATATACTCTTTGATTCTGAGAATAGCTCTAATACCAACTGGAACAACGCTCACAAATATTTTTGTGTGCTTGTTTTCTTGTAAAGCCGATCTAGCACAAAGTAAAATTGATTTTTAGAAAAGTAAGCTGAAGGAGTTTTCCAAACTGTCCCTTAAGAAAGAACAATCCTCAGTAATTTTAGTTTTACTAATTTCTTTTAGTACTTGTTTGTTAGTAGTAGGGGAACTAATATGGCAGTAGGTTGTATTGAATATGAAAAGTCGAATTTTGCTATTAGAAAGGGATTAAATTTGCTCAGCAATAAAGCAGACATTTTCAAAATACCATGAGTGTTAATAGTGGAATACATTGATCACAGTTTGAGTAGTATTCCACCATCACTACTATTTGTGAAGACAGTTTTACAGATTACACACTTCTTATAATTGCTTTTGGCTTCCTATTTAAATTTTAACATTTGAAAATGTTTGCTTGACATGTCATTGCAGTCCACACAGTGCTAAAATATGAGTCTAGGAAAATGCAACCAAAAATTAACAAAGGTTTTACTGCCAGACTTGAATCTGTATGGAAACTACAAGCAATCTCTGCATCTTTCAGAAAATTCCACTCCGGACTTTTCAATAGTTCAACAAAATGAAAAACACAATATTTAATTTTAATGCAAACTGATAACTTTTTTTTTTTAAGTAAGTGTATTCAAAGGCTTTAAATTGCTATTCAGCCTGAACATTAACATGGTAACAATGTAATTGATTTTTGTCTGAAATTAGATTGTCTTGTGTTAAAATGTATTTTTTCTCCACCCAAAATCAATTAAGGGTATCCAGGTATATCTAGGAGAGATTTGTTTCCAAATGACTCCAATTTTTAAAAACTAGTTATCTGAAAAATGACTTGGTAGATAATTAGGTGGATTTGGGTGCCATAGGAAGTAAGCAGTTAAAGAAAAAAAAGAGTGTATTATCAAGACTGCAAGCTTGTCAGGCTGATGGAGCCCTGTGTTTCCATTCTCATTTCAATGAGTGTCTGCATAGAACTGTATTAATAATACATTAAGTTAAGGACATGCTACAAACTCTTACTCATACGAGCCATCCATGTTGGTCACAATTTTAACTAGAAATTATATTTTTAAAGGCTAAAGAACTGTTCTTCAAAACTCAGGGGTCATTTTAGCTTCATGACCAGGCCTGTAATCTTTGGCTGCAGAGGTATAATATAGTGTACCAGGGCAAGTGTGTGTGGCATGGGGGGTGATTCTTTTTTTTTTCCTGAATGGTCAGCCAGCACTGGCCCATTTAAGATAAGCAAGGTTAAAATGTTGCATTTTATCTATTTTGTCCACAGAGCAATAGTTACTTGGATGGAGAGAAAAGGAAGTCTAAAATAGTTAAGTTTTTGGCCAGTTACCAAAGCTCATGTGATGGACAATGAGACTGATGTTGCATAATTAAGAAATATATATGAAAACATTAAATTATTACATTTCATATATCGTTATATAGGGAAATAATATATAATGCCTTAAAAAAGAGTTATGGAAGTTGTGGTAGTTCTGGAGAAGCCAGGAAAACTTTTACTACTAAGGCCTTTTAAAAGTTAGAGGCTCTGCTTCTTGACCCTCAGACTGCTGGAGAGCAAGGAGGACACCTGGGGTCATGATGTTCCCTTTTTGCCATGCTATCTTAAACTGGAGCAGTTGTTCCCAAGCTTTTTCAAAGCTAAGCCTGTAATTCTCTGTGACTTCTTGTGCTCTTACCCAACAACTGCTGGTGCAGGGAGCCTTGCTGCTCTGCCCTCATTTCTGAGCTTCCTCAGGCTCCTTAGTGTTATCCCTTGGCTCAGCCCCTGCACTGCATCTCAGGACAGCTACCCCCTCCTCCCTTGGGCAGCTCTGAGGCCAAGCTAGAGCTGCTCTCATGGCTTTTGCCAGACTATCATTCTCCTATGGGGCTGACGAACTACCATCAGGCTGCAAAATAAACCAAGCAACAATGCCTGCCTGTGTGAGTTCTTTGCTTTATCTTTGCTATGCTTGTCATGTAAGTTAAAGTAACTTCCAGGTTGCTTTACTTAATGCTGAGACACGCAATCTGGTCCTGCACAGACCAGCGTCAGCTTGGCAGGGCTCATGCACATGGGCTCAGTGTTGTACCTGGGGGTAACAGGGTCCAGCCATATCAGTAAGGCACACCTCAAAAACATGTAAGTAGGGAATTTCAGGCACAAGGGGAGAAAACAGCTGCAGGAGTGTATGAGGAGAGTCCTTATGTCTCACACTATTGCTTCTCTGTCATTCATTAGAATTTCTCTTCTTATGTCTTTTTCCTTCTAGGCTTACATACCAAGGCAGACATCACTGATATTGAGGCAGTTATGCCCACTTGATTGAAAGTAAATTTGATCTAAGGGATTTTAACAGATTCCAGTTTCAAATCTCCATACAAAACAAGTGAGGTTTACCTGTATTTTCATATGGAATATTACCTTAAGAAGCACATTTTGTTCATTATATATAGCAATATTTGAAACTGCAACACCTTAACAAGCACAATGAAAACACTTAAGAAACAGTAATAAGGTATTCATTTTTCTTTATCATGTGTGTTAGTATTTTTAATAAATATAGGAACACAAAAGTAATGTCATCCTGCATCAATGCTTTGCTAAACCTTAAACAGAAATAAATTATCTCCTTTGCTAAATGAGGAGGAAGGTCTGGCAGAATTGAGCCCAATTTAGTTTGTATATTGCTTTTGTGTGTTCATTTTAATCAGTGCACTCCTTCATAGTCAAGAAGAAATGAAACCTTATTTAAATTATCGCCACACTCTTCTGAAGTCAGTCATCAAGTTCTTCAGGTTAATATTGCTTACTATAGTAGCAGTCACATCACAGTCAAGACGAAGCTGATATTACAGCAATTTTTCCAGCCTTAAGGAAGCAGTGCAGAAAATGAAGATATTTATTTTGTTGAATATGCCCTCCAGTAACAAAGCCACATAATTTTTCTTGGCTACCTTATATATAGATATTCCTTGCATGAATGGAATTAACTCAAATTAGCAGTATTTCCATACTTGAAGAAAAGAGAAAAAAAGTTTTGATTTTTTTTTTTAAGTATTCCTAAACTTTGCCTTATAATTTACAAACATTGAAGGAGAACTGGCATTTTCTTTCTTCCTTTTTTTTTTTTCCCTCAGTAATGGATATAAATCGCAATGATAAGAGTCCCAAGGGCAAAAAGAGCCCTATTGTATTAGACATTGCACAAATCCAGAATAAAAAAGATGGTCACTGTTCTAAAAGCTTCAGTAAACCAATTGACACCACTGGTCTGAGTTATAATGGCATTCAGTCACAGTTTTAATTTCTGAAATAGTTTTAATTCTACTTTTCATTCAGTTTTCTCAGTAATAAAGCTTATGCTTTACAGGAATTATTTTTGTTAAGATCAGGACCTTAAGCCTGAATGAGTTCTGTATAGCAAATTAATCTTATTTAACCAATGAGGCTGACTGAGAAATTACATCAACTTTAGTGGTTTTGGTGTTTAGTAATTATTTTTAAAATCTGGTTCATGTTCCAAACCAGTTCAGTTTTGCTCCATGGCCATTCAGTACTTATAATTGCCAGTACACTAGCAGCACAAGATATTTCAGATGGGCACTAATGCACTTCGGGTGTATGGGAGGACCACTTATACAAATATGCCAGCAGCAACCTGCTCCGGAGTGTTTCAGTGTGCAAGGACCAATCTCAGGTAAAAATAAATGTGATCCAAGAACACTTCTTGTGGCTTCACACCCTGTTTGAAGCACTATTATGTAAAACTGTGAGGCATTCCACCACTGTGGAGTCAGAAGAGCTGATTCTTGGGATGCAATCCTCTGGTTAACCCTCAACTGTGACAGAAAGTAACTCATCTTCAGGGTTTTACCTTGAGCCAGAGGCAGATCTGGGAATATAATCTGGATTTCCTGATTTCTGATCTCCTATGCTGAAGTGTTACTGATTTACCCCCCCAAAAAAGAGACACACAGTGCCTCAGTTTTTAAATTATGCTAATATCCTCTAATGTCAAATAGCAGGCTGCTTTAGACAGACGAGAACCAAGTGATGTTGCTAGCACACGAAGTGGAGATAGACATGTTTATAACTTGCCTATTTTCTCCTTTATAGGAAGCTTAGACCAAGGAAAGAACAGCCTAAAGCAGAGCACCTTTTTCAAGAAGCTGAGTGAGCTCCTCTTGATTCAGAGAATTTATCTTTGCTTTATTTTCCATCTCAACTCCCTGGGCGTGAAGAGGAACACAGTTTATGTCTCCCTATAACAAATTAACTAGGCTTCTCATTGTAATTGGTTCAGAGGAACGTAGTTTTCTAGTGAATTCCCCAGGAAAGCTCTTGGTTTATGGATCTTGAAACTAAGGTCTGAAAACCAACTCTATCATAGAAATAAATGTAATTTGCATTCTTCTAATTATTGACACTTTACCTTTTAAAATACCAATTTAATTGAACTTTGACATAAGGAAATATAACAGTATTACAGGAAATAGAGGGACTATTGATTGAAAATACAGAATTGCTTTGACACTAAGTGATTGTTCAATTCAGCACTTGGCTTATTAGCTCACAATTAGGACTCATGAAAGTTGTTAGAAAAAGGTTTGCAAAGCAGAGTAATGTCATACAACCTGCCTCTTGAGAAGGGGCTCTGGCCCAACTTAACTGCTGAACCAGGGCCAGAATTGTTTTGTTAGTGAGCAAGCCCTGGCCAAAAGTATGTCAGGAACCATTAAAAGTGAAGATGAGCTGCAGAGTCCAAGAACATTTCCTGTAATTGATTAACTGCCTGGTAGAGGTGTAGCCTAGAGGTTCATCTGAATGTGAGCTGAGTCATTCTCCAAGCTCCAGAGTGCATTAGTTAGATCTGTGTTTTCTACAACAGGAGACAAAACACTTCAAATTTGTGCTGGAATTTATTTGTGGGCATCAAAATTAAGGGGTTTTTTTAATACAGATGTGGCCCTCAGATTGTCACTGTGAAGACACAATTATTTTTTGTCCTATGGGCAACAGAGTATCCAGGGAAAGATTAAATATCTGTAATTGATATTAAAATATCCCAAGTTATAGAGTAATTGTTCTACCCAGTTACTCATAAAAATGTAAGCCTCCAGCAGTTCCAAGAATTATCTGTGAAATAAAAAGCTCTTTAAGAGAAAGTTACATGAAATACCATTTTTCTATTCTGTTATAACATCAAATATTGAAGATAAAGCGTTTTACTTCCACTCTGTAGCAGCTATTTAGAATCGATTGTAAAAGAAAGAAACTATGACCCTTTGGCAGCTTAAAAAAACCCCAAAGATTATGTGAAAAATCTCCTGTTCATCATTGCAGTGCTTCTGAGGTATCAAATAATAAAGTAATAGTATCACCCCAAATGAGTTCAGAAACATGCATTAAAAATTCTGTGCTTTAAGAAAGTGTGAAAATTAAATACTAAAAAAACAATTATTGACACTGGAAGCTCTTTGAAACATGTTAAGCCACACTGGAAGTCATATCGGGAAGCCACATTATTTCTTGACGTTGGTTTATTATCTTATTTGACTCCATGAATATTCATTAGAATTTATAATCTTCTATTATTTAGCTCACTGCATTAAACATCTGCTTTTTTTCCCACAAGACCTGAGGGGAAACAAGATTACCTTCTATTTATGATGGTTAAAATCATGAAAAGATTATATATACACACTATTGTATTAACTGAAACAAACCATCAAAAACTAAAGGCTGATGGTAAATGAAAGTCCTACAGTTGCCATTTGTTGTAAGGGGAACAAGTTCCCAAAACGTAATTTTAAGAAAAGCTCACTGATCAACATTACTGTATCTGTATACCATGCTGTGTTATGGCAAAGTGAGATACCCATTTGTGTTGTAATGCAGTGATCTTGCATTGAAAGGAATAAAATGCCAAAATCTGTCAACCCTGCTTGGCTCCTTGAGCTCTGGCAGTCTTGTTGAACTATGCCGCAAAAGAGGTTGCTGTGTTCTGGGAACAACAGCTCCAACAACTGATAAATGACAGACCAAGCATATAATTAGTGCCTCCTCAGACTTACCCAGTTTTATGATGATGCATGGCAAATAGCACTTGGGATGACTTCAGAGGTTTGCTATTCAGAAAATTTCCTAATGACCTATCATTTGTGTGCATGCTTTTCTGACTAGCTAAGGATCAGTATGCCTGAGGGGAAAAAAAAAATTAGAGGAGCTGTGGCTCAAGGAGAAAGCTTTTGGCCTGAAGCTGTGGTAAGAGTTTTATTTTGAAAGTCATCCGTATAAATGCAAAAAAAAATGACATGCACTGATTATGCCTGCACACTCAACAGTAACTGGAGGCAAGGAGTCCTCCAGGTACACAGAGAATAATAAATGGCCTTTCATACTGTTTGTGAAAGGAGAAGAAAAAGCCATGTCTCAATCCCTGTACATTTTTAATAACAACATGAGGCTTTATGCCAATACGCTGATAATTTTACATATGCCATCTATTGAAAAAATGGAAACTCAAGTTCCAGCTCCTAGAAGATACTGATGCATTTTTGTCTATACCGATGTCCCCACATTACCATGAAAATTTCTCAGTGAAAATGAAAAAAAATTATATTAACTAACAAAACCACACCTCTGTAGTACTAATTGCAATTGCAAATGTGTTTGTGAGGTGAAGAGATAAGTGATGCAGCAATACATGGGGAAGAGAACAGATTTTAATTCCTTTACACAGCAGGGGTAGAGAACAATATCCAGCATAACAGGGACCAATAATACAGGGTCTGTGGAGCACAGCACAAGAACGTGGTGGAGTCACCTCGGGTCCGCACCAAACCGACCCTGAATGTAGGACATGAAGAATGTAGGACCTGTGCTCTGCAGTGTCTGCAACAGGGCTGGGTCTAAATACCTTCTCCACTAGGAGGAACCCAGTATGCAACACCCACCTAGATCAGGCAGGCAGGGGTTAGCTCGGGGCCTTGAAGCAAAGCCACCACCTACCATGCTACCAGACCAGTGTCAGGCTCCGAGCAGACGAGTGGTCAGCAGCTCCCGATGGATGGAGCACAAGAAGCCGAGTTCCACTGATCAAAGCTGGCCTGAGTGGGTATATGGAGCTTCCGCAGGGATGGCAAACAGCCCATGCAGCTGCCGAATCTCATTCAGCACTCTTACTCCTCCTCATTTGCTCCAGGCCTGTGACCATAAGGTTAGCCTTTTATACTTAGGTGGGTGCTTTTTCCCCTCACCGCTGCTTCACTTACTGTTCTACATCCAGGCAGTTTCCACACACACCCTCCTGCTGTGTAGAACCCAGATCAGAAACTCAGGAGACCAGGGAAGCAAGTACAAAACCACCTGAATATGCCTGCAGGGATCAGCCTGGATCTGGCAGTACCATTCCTAAAAAGAACAGAAAGCTGCTGACCTTTGAAGGACTCCTCTGGGAGTCAGTTTGGTGGCTCTGTACAACCTCCCTCTGAGTTCCAAAATTGAGTGTTGTGCTGAAACTCAAGGCTGTCTCTGCACAAGAAAGGTCCAGAACTGTAGTTTATTAGATTAGCTCAGTTCTGTGAAAAAAATTGTATGGCTTCTAACCAGCATGAGGTGTTACAATTAGATACTGTAGTTGGCTATTCCCACTGCTCTGTAGATTTCAGTGGAGCAGGATACAGAAGTCCCTTTAACATTAATGTCTGTCAATCATGCAGACAAAGGTTTTTGTATGGGAGACACCCAAGCAGGGAAAAAAATACAGCAGTTGAATGTCACAGGCAAATGAACATGCCTGACACCTGTACAGAAGAAACTATGATTAATAGTGTTCTTATTTCCTTTAGGCAATCATGGTAAACAGGCAGATTGGATGTCTTCGTCTGGCTACCTTTTCTCCAATAGAGCCAAATTTCTCCTTCTCACTTAGAAAAGCTGTAATTGTACCTGACACAGCTTTCACGCTGAATTTGTTATTTTGTTCAGAAATTTAATTAACTTGTGATTAACACATTTCAATACCTGTTTTGTAATGTATGAAAGACTATACAAAATAATAATCTATTTTTAATAGTGTATTTAATTTTTGCTGCATGCTTTATGCCAATACTCTGATAATTTTACACGTGGCATCTATTGAAAACATGGAAGCTCAGGTTCCCGCTCCTAGAAGATACTGATGCATTTTTGTCTATTGCAACATTAAACAACCATAAAATCAACTGCTCAAATCACAGGATTGCTCTTCCACAACAGGAATATCAGCCTTCACTGGAAACAATTCTGACAATTGTGGGGACAGTAAGTTGGCTCTGCTGGAAGAGCTGAAGAGGTACACCAACTCTGAAGCTACAAAACTGGGACTGAAGTCACAACCTCCCTCAGAGCTATGGTGCAAACCAAGAAGATAAAAATCAGTGCCATCTCTTCCTCTCAATCATCTTCTCCCAGAAGTCTGCAGGCTTTCAGATCTGCGGCTCTGCTTGGAAAGCAAAGTTGATGAGAGTCTACACCTCGTGTCTTCTCTGGAAGAGCTATTTTTGGTAGCTTTACACAGGCAATACTTCTGGTCCTTAAGGCCTGCTATTCCATCTAATTTCTGCTGCTTGACTTCTGCTAGGGAAATTCTTCATGCTGTCTTTCTGCTTTCCTTGTTTAAATACCTCTGGAGGAAGGAGAATGATGGCTGGTAGGCAGACATACTCCTAACCTTAATGTCTGGACAGTGCTTTGCATAAGAGACAATAAATACAGTCATCTTAATGCATCTGCTACTTAGACAATAAAATTATTTTAACACCACTACCTAATCCTCTCTACACCCACATTGCTATTCAGCAGTATCTTTTCTTCCAACTAGCATTTCATCTAGCAATTCTGAGGCTGCAGAAATAAGAAAGGTTGAGGTCTTGAACTAGACTGAGAAACAAGCTACAAAAAAAATAATCATCAAATCTAAAGAGCCAGATAGCTCATCACAGATAGCACAAGTAGGCTAAAAGCTCAAAAACTGAAGCAAAATAGGTAAACTGGGAGCAAAAGACAAGAAAAAGCGATCATCATCCAACAGAAAGGACTTGACTCAGTTCAGGATATAAGATTGTAAACATCACTTCAAAACCAAAAAACACTATCATTCTGAGCGGTCTTGTGGCAGTTTCAACACCTCAGACTTAAAGATATGCAATATAATTTTTTTTCTCTTTGAGGGATTGACTGATCTGTTGTTTCAGCACAGCCAAACTGAAGTGTATTTTATTTAAACATTAATCCCAAATTTACAAAGTATTTTATAGAGTTTTCTTTATCTTATGATGAAAATTTGCAATTCATTGCTGCAAATTCCACTTTCCAGACCATCTCTGATGATGAAAGTCTTCTAACAGCAACCTCTAATAACACCTCTAACAGCTAGCACAGCAGAGTCCATCAATTCTGTCTTACCCTTCACAGCAGTAGTGGCATCCACCTGTGATTCTTTACTAAATGTTTCTAAGTTATTTAACTAAGACTCTTTCTTTCCTTATATGTGCCCTGCTACTTGTCATCTTTCCTTTTTTTTTTTTTTTTAATCTCTGTATGTGTGGGAAGAGAGAGTTCTATGTTGGACAATGGAGGAAATAAAATGTTTAAATCTAATTCTTCCCTTGACACTCTGCAGCCTTTCAGCTCTGTGTGTCCCACAAGAGGTAGTTCTACCAAGATATAACCCTTACCAGCAACCTATTTTGTATCTTTGCTATCCAAGTGCCACTACAGCTTTGTATAGTTTCTCTTCAAAACAGATGACACTACCCTAGGGGCACTCTGTTGATGTGACAGTTGCTTGAAAGATCTTTGATCATAGTTTCAGACACCGCAGACAGAGGAATAACATCCAAAATGCATCTTGTCCCTTCGAAGTTTCAGTCAACTACTGCCCCTGCCAAATGGTATGCAACACCAAACTTTATAGTAATAAAGATAAAAAAATCATCCCTAGGGAAGAATTCAAGACCACTTGAGATTATTTTGGAAAGACCTCTTAGCATTTCATCCTCTGATAAAACAGGAGAAAGCCAAGTACCCGCAGAGGCAGAGCTTCCAGCACCCACCCCCCTCTTCACAAAAAGATTCACTCCATTAAACGTACATGAAATATGCATGACCATTCAACACAAAGGGTAAGGAAAAACACATGTCCATTGAAATTTGTGAGAAATGGTTCATACTGCCATCTGCCCATCTGAAAGAGAACTGATGTGGAAATAACCAGAAATGTCTTCTGGATACCATTCTCAAAATACCTACTCTCTGCTCCAGTGACAAGCAGAGAGGATACGAGAAATTCTGGGACTGCTGTCAAATCCAAAACCTGCAAAAATGTCTTTCTATAATAACTGATAAAAATATCACTATATTTTATGCATGGATGTATTCTTTAAATGTCAGGAAGTTATTTTCTATATAAAAACCACAATCAAATCTAAAATGTAACCAACAAATCTACTATCATTCTTTGGCATACAATGAGAGGCCCTTAACCTAACTATAGGCCAATAAGATTCAAGAAATTCAAGATGCATTACAATGAAATGGATTTGGCTTCCCAAGGAAAATATGACATAATTCCACCAAGAATTCATAAATAAATAATGATGTCATACTAATTTTCCTATACTCTGTTTCACAGACACTTGTGTTGAAATTTGCACAGGAATTAAGTGTTCACCATCACATCCTGGTGTAAATAATGGTACTGCAACAAAGAACAATGAATATCCTTGTATAGTTATATCCCTTTATAATCTGTTTACATAATTTGCTCAAACTGTAGTATAATCCATTTTCCTTAACAATCAATTTATATCACAAACATATATGGAAAAATCCCTCATTTTAAATGTATTTCTACCTCATTAAGCTCTTCTTAATGAGTCTGGGGATACAGCTTTAGAGTAAATGAACAGAAGGTATTTTAAATAAAATTAGCTGAGTTTAAATAAAAACAGCTCACACTTAACAATACCCTACAGCTAGCAAAAGTGAGCTAGTTTATGCACTAACCACCTAGTGCAATTTCCTCCTCTTCCATAAAGGTTTGCTTTGGGAGGAGCAACCTCACTAAACACTCATGCAAGAAAGAATGTTAAAATAATAGACAGCAGCCTGACAGATCCCCATGTGTAACACTGTCTATTCAGGAGTGTGTAGTGCCCCATGCTGTGCAGTAGTAATCTTCAGTAATCTTACTCTATTATTTGAGGCCAGGTAATAAAATTTGGCTTCTTACCTAGTTTGTAAAAATAAAATCTTCAGTCTTAAAATGAATTCAGAGTCACGGAATTCTGCATCACTCTACCCTGACTTTGCTGAAGCCTATGTCATTCAAACTTGTATGTGTCAGTACTGATAAACAGGAGGAAGGCACAACTCTTCTAATTTCAGAGCTGTTCAATGAATATCAGGGTATGTAGCCAAAAATATGAGAGAATAAAAGAAGCAGTTCCAAACTTTCACTTTTTGTATTAGCAACGGGATCTCATTTCAGAACTATACACTTTTTCATATAATGATTTTAATCCCTAGCTATCCAGATCCCTTTTAACTGCATTCTTTTCCGCTCCCTCTGCTCCAAAGCAGCATCACTGAAGAGAAATGCTCCAGCTTGCTATGTTCATCTCAGTCACCTGGAACACAAACATGACTTGTTTTTAAAGAAGCAAGTGACAAGCAATATTCAGATTAATTATTTTCTTTTTCATGCAGAAACTACACAGCATACTATTCTTACCCCGAGCATGTAACATTTCCCAATCAGAAGACAAGCAGATTTTTCATTTCTCATCAAAAACCAGAAACAAAACCGGGTTTCCTGCTAGCTGTAGGGCGTCGGCAAACTGAGCTGTGGAAATACTTTGTTTATTCTGTGCCAAATCTCGTATCCTCGCTGCCTGCCCCCGCCTTAGGGATCACCAACAGATCACAGGCCCCGTTTTACCGTCTCCGAAAGGTATTTGCTGATTTTCTCTCACATTTTTAGCAAGAACTTAATCGCTCGCGTGTCGCGTAAACTGCTTCCGAATACTGGCAGAGCCGCTGCAGTCCTGCAGACCCCCGGACGCCGGTTCCGGGCCTGGCTCGCCGCGCCCGTTGCTGCCCCTCAGGCTGCCGGCGCCCCGTCTCCCGCCCCTGCGCCCCCGCTTTCCCTCCGCCGCCTGCGACAGGAGCTGAGCCACCAGCAACGCCTTGTTCCCTCTTTAGCATTGCCTGCCCTTTCTTAAATACGTTTTCACAGAGGTGCTACGAACTCGGCTGGTGGGTGTAGGTGTGTACTTTGCTAACTGTGTGATAGTGTACACTTGGAGAAGAAAGGCCAGGTAGAGCAATGGGACTATGGCAGAAATTATGATTGTTTTTTTCCCCACCACTAACCAAAAATGAAATTTAGGATGTGGACCACCACACGGGTGGGAATCATTGTCATTTTCTCCTTTTCCTGCCATAGTCTTCTGTTGGGAGAGGTAGGTGGGTCTGCAGGCTTTTGGGGCTGTGCTGTCCATATAGCTCAGGGCTATTTACCAAACTGAAGGCTGTCCTTTGGGTTGCACTGTACTGCTGTAGCTGTCACTATTTATGGGTTACCTACACTAGAATAACTCACCTATGCATAGGTGTGTGTGTATATATATATATGTATATATATATATATATATATATATATAACTCAACTATTTAGCCCTTGGGTTTTTTTGGTTTTATCGTTTGTCCTTAAAGACTCCTACAACAGAAGGGGCTAAATATAGTCACATAACTTTATAAGTGAAAATTCTAGCGTGTTTAAAGGGCTTATGAGTTCATTCAACAAATCTGAAGAAAGTTTAAAAGAATAACTCTGTCCCTAGGTGTTTCCACTGTTTGACTTTCACACTGTTCTTAAAACGTTTCTCTCCTTGTTTGAAAGAGGCAGGTGGATCCATAAGACCTAGTTTCTGCAGCATGGTCTGGGAAACCAGAATGTTTTACTCAGAAGAAATACGTGTCATTTCACAGATACTGTCTTTGGCTGAAGTGCATCTGTGTGTATGGCATTATTAGCCTCCCAGTGCAAGGTTAATTATAGTGAAAGTTGCTCAGCACAGCCTAAGTTAACTACAGGAGAAATATCCTGTTTCTAGCTTGCTAATCTTAGAGGTAATTGTAGATCTAGTAAATAAAAGCAGAAATGTAATTTTTCTTGCTGTCTTTTAAACTATCCGAAAAAAGTGTATGTTATGGCTTAAGAGATATGATGACTAACTCTATTACAAGGAGGTTGGTTGTGCTGTTTATATTTTATCTGAAGTTTTAAATGGCTTAACCTAAATCACTGTGAAAGTAATAAATAGCACTAAAGGAATCTGCAATCTAAAAAGAGATTTTAGGTGGTCTCAGCAGCAGATATGAACCTTACTAATATTTGTCATGGGTACTTAGGAACCTTTCCTGAGTACCTGAGGCTTTTTAAGAGAAATCTGTTTTAAAAAGAACTAGTCACCTTGCAGAAAAAAAATATGGGAAGTTCATAGTTTCTTTAGTATGACTACTTAAGAGGTCATTGGAAGGAATGTTTGCTGCTGATGTTTTCTGGTACGGTAATGTTGCTCCCTATATATTTTGCATGCCAACGCAAAAGTAAAAATTATGGAATATAAACTATTATTTACATAAACCAGTGTGTTCCTGATTATTTATAACAACTTAAAAGTAGGTCTTCACCTTGAGAAATTTCTGGCGTACTATAAGTAGCACATTATGTAGGTGGCTTTGAATAGCCTCTGAGCTTTAAGAGACCCCTGTAGGTACTTTAGGAACTTCAGAGCGGATGTTCTTTATCTCGAAAAGGGTTAGGAGTGTACTTTATGTGAATCACTGCCGCCTTTGTGTTTTCATGATTGAGTTTTTCTGGCCTGTTGAGGATTACTGGGGATGACATGTCTTGTTTATGGTGAAGTGTTGGTTAGATTCCATCCATAAAAAGTTTATGTATACATCATAGGATGTTTCAGCTGTAACATGGTTGAAAAGTGTTCTAGGAGATCATAAACGTGCAATATGAATAGGAGCATCCTCTAGCAGCTTTGTCTCTGAATTTTTTTTTTTTTTTTTACTTAACCTTCTGTCCCTCTAATTTCCCTAAATATTCATGTCTCATCTTGTGATAAAAAGTATATTCAAAAATAGACATCAAATCAAGAGAGAGGCTGGAAAAATAATGAATGTTTTTACTTAATCTTTAGCTGTCTGGCCTTAGGACTTGCAGATGTCACTTTGTTTACCATTTTGTCTTCTTTAAATGAACTGCTTGCAGAATATTGTTGCTTCTGTCTGTGGGACTAGACAAAAAACTCTGTCACGTCTCAGAATTTGAATGATTCTCTGTGATGCATGCTGTATCATGGAGTCACTTGTTTCTAATGCAGTGGTCTGATATATACAATGTAAATACGTTTGGCCTATTTTATCACAAACATTTTTATTGGTAGGTATGTGTGCATTGTTATTCTCTATTAGTATCCTGACGCTGGTCTGTTTCTGGAATGAATATGTAGCTACACATGTAAGGATATCTAACTTTTGGCAGCCTGCATTTCTCTCCCTTATTTGAACAGATGGTTTGAAATGTCATTTGAGGTTCAGGCCATCAAATTTCTTACAGTGTTTATGAAATATGGCAGTCATTTGGGAAACTGTGTAATATTCTTCAGTGGTCAAAATGAGTTTTGAAAGGAGCCATTTAAAGCTTTTGAAAGTTCTCAGCATGTGACTTTTTGGCTACGAAGAACATTCTCTTTTTCCAGAAGTTAGTCACTAGGAAAATAGTTGAGAAGCATAGCTCTTCTCAGTCATTGCCTCGAGCGTTTTGTTTAATCTCTGCAGTAACAAAGGGATAAAATCTCCTGTGTATAGATAGCTGTCTTCACCAAAAATTTTTATCTTTTAAAGAAAAGGTGAAAAGAAAAATGAAGACAAGAGAGGAAAATTTTAAAAATATGTATTTAAAGAAACTATTCACATTTCTTATCCTTTTGCTTTCATAATGTCTGTAAGGGAAAGAATGTTGTTTTCGCGTATTGAGCCTGAGGGGTGGGGCAGGAGCGATTCACCAAAGCAATTAACGAGAACAATTAATTGAAAGAGCAAACCATTGAAATTTCTGGCCTGGGGTGAGAAGACAGGTAGCCCTTTTGTCAGCTGTGATGACCAGTACTTAGAAATGGCTTTAGATGGATGCAGATACCGAGAGACTTGGGGAACCTGAATTTCGAACTTTTTTCTTCTGTCTTAGTACGCTTGCGTGATGAGCTCACGCATATTAACTTCTCCGCCCTGGAGAAAGCCAAGGTTCATTTCCATGAACACGCGACGTATGAACACATACATGAAGGGGCGTGTCGGTAGGCGGTTCGGGAAGTCTGTACACCCTGTAGTACTTAGCCCATGAGGAATCAGGGGAAGGAACTCGCGGTCGGGGAAAGGGATATAAACCATTGAACCTGGTGGGGCGCCCGGTCTTGCAAGAACGTAATAAAGAGTGCTCCACCCCGCTCCCTGTCCGGGCCGATGGTAATTGGTAACTGAGCGTTCCTCACAATGTCGATATTAATGACTCCCTCCTGCCCCAATCTAGTGGTATTTCATAAACTGACATTTATTTTTCTTCTAACAAAAATATGAAGATACTTATTTTTGACAAAGCAGGGGTGAGGCTTTTTTAGATACTGTATGCCTGTGGATGTTGTATGCCTTTTTTTTTTTTTTTTTCCCTGAAGAAGTTAAACCATCGGGGTATACTCCTGAAAGAGAGGTAATTGCTGTTGGCTGCAGAGCCTATCAGTTTGTCTTAATAAAACACAGGCTGTTGCATATGCAATCCTTGTGAACTAAGCAAGAAAGTAGAAAAGCTATGCAAGAATTTCCTTGTGCTTTCTTCTCATTACAGGCCTAATTCTTCCCTTACATAGATAGTTCTTACGAGTAGTCTCTCTGAATGCTAAAGAAGTGTCATATCCTTTACTCTATACAAATCAGGAGAAAGGGCCCATTTCACCGAAAAGATTTTATCCAAACTGTAAAAAAAATATTTTTAACAACTTTATAATATTCTGAACAACTTCATAGTTGTTGGTCATCATATTTAAATATTTAATTAACAGACTGTGTTTTTTTCAGAATTATCCTGTACTTGATTACTTCTAACATCAAAATGTAATTCAGTTCATTGACAAGTTCTGTGGTGTTTGTCATGTTTCATAATTGGAAATAAACTCATATTCACACTGAAAATTATTTTATCTGTATATATGATAGGAAAAAAGCTTAAATTATTTCCTCTACTGGATTTAAATACACTAATTCATCTTGTCACCTTGTTTATGTTAGTACTGTAGATCGTACATTGGAACTACATTTGGCTTCACATGGAGCTGGTACATTGGCTTAATTAATCGTATGTAGAAGTATTGTGCAGATAATCAGTATTTATCTCATAAGCTTCCACAGTGTGGTGTGTAAACTTGATGTCTGAAGCTATACTAAGTAACTAAAACTACTCTTGGAAGCTTTTTTTATTGTGTAGTTTTGTCAGTTTTGATACCAATTTTAATGTTAAATGTGTATGGTGGACAATGCAAAACATTGACATAGTTTTCTGTAATCTTTCGTAGATCCAGAGAGGGCTTGTTATCTACATATGCTTCTTCAAAGGTGCTGATGAGGATCTTGTTCCAAAAATTGGTATGATATAATCCTTATAAATTGTTGTATTGTTTGGAAAAGAAGAAAGCAGTAGAGGCAGAGAAGGCAGCAGCCATTTGGACAAGAAGTCATCAAAAAGCCATCAGATAGCATCATTCCAAAGCAATCACCTGGCTGAAAGAACAGCTTGGTTGGTCTTGTTTCTTTTGACAGTTGTCCATAGTTTTCACTGTCCCCCTGCTCATGATCAACCTGTTAGAAAATCGGTTCCCCTGATGATAACATTCTAGTAAAACAGAGAAGGCGTTACAGAACAGGACTAAATTTAGAGAAGACTGTTTTCAAATAATTCATGGCTTGATTGAGAAGCATTTTAACACTGCTCACACTGTATGTGCAGGATATTTAAAATTACAGCCAGTAGAGGGAGTTGGGTGGATAGCTAAATAGTGTCCTTCCCATCTCTTCAGTGATAGTATATACACTGTTCGCTTTTCAAATGCAGCTTTCTGGTTCAGAAATTAAAACAGCAGCATTTGCAGTTCTTTCACTCTTCTCCACGTCCACTTTTAACATTTACATCAAAGCAGAGAAGATGCTCTGGATAAGCTCAAATGGTAGTGATCTCTGTCTTTACCCACTGTTGTTTTGGCTTGCGGTTGGTTGTTTTGGTTTTGTTTTCTTTTTTACTTTTATTTCATTTCTTCTCCCTCCTTTCCTCCATCAGTAGCACTGGATCATCTGGGAAATTCTGTGATGCCATGTATTCTAGATAAAAGTGCCCCTTTTCTTTTCTGTGGCTGGCTGATATTAGAGGTTTCGCAAAAGGTCATGTATCAGTACTCTATTTCAGGTTACTTGCTGGGCCCAGCAGAAAGACCTGGCAGTGCACAAGCACAGGTGCTATTGAAAATGCTGAGAGCAGCTCCTGGGGGGTTCTCTCTTGGCCTTGGAGGGCACAGTCTTTCTGTGATGCTAAACTAAGTTGAAATCTTTGAGTGTATTTAAAGCTATGATATGAAAATTGATTTTTTGCTTGTGAGAGTTTCATGAGCGTGTTACTTGAGAGTAATGACCTTTTCAGCTGTCTGGCAGCTGAAACAAGTCAGAAAAAAGAAAGTTCTGTTTCCTATTAGGAGATTGATCTACAACCATCCTCATTAAGTGTCTGTCTTACAGAATATTTTTCCTAAATATGTTTTGAAACTGTTTAAATGAGTGGGTTTGATTTCTGAATCACAACTCTGTTCTTTTTGCTTCAAATAACATTAAACTTTTATTGGTTTGGAGGCATGACTAGTATCCTCACAGCTTTTACAGAGTTGGAGAAAGTTTGGGGGAATTACTTGATTTGTTAAAAAAACATTGGAAAATATAACATTAGTAAATGCATTGATTTTATTTGCAAGTTTATATATTCTGGCTTGTGGGCCAAATTGCATCTCTGACCTTACTGCCCATTTCCTCTCTCAAAAGCCAAGCTGGCACCTGCACATCTTGAAGTGGAGTGCTGAAGGGCACTCAGTCTACTTGAGATCAAACTGCTGAGCTGTGGCTTCAGCCCAGATCAGTGCTGGGTCCTGGTGCAAACTGCTGCAACCAGAATGAAAAGATGGCCAGGGAAGAACTTCTCCAAAGTACACTGAAGATGGTGTTATTTCCTACAATGTGTAGTGTTGTGCAAATGTTGCCTATGTGAGTATCAGGCAATTAAGTTAGGGTCACTGATTGGATCCTGGGTTCCCTTGGGGGTGTCCAACTAGCATCAACTTCAGGATTTCAGACAGCCAGCCACTTCCCCCCCAAAATAACTCTTTAGTTTTATTATATGAATATAAATATCCTTCACATTCTTTATGATACTCAGACATGTTAGTTGGTTAATAACATTTATTGACTGTCCATATTTCATTTCATTAATAAACATTTTCTTTTACATGAACGGTTTGTCATGCATTACAATATTTGTTGAATCTTATTTATGATGTTATATTAAGTCCTGTTTAATTTACTTTAGTTACACTAACTCTTATTTTATTTTTATTTGCAGTCAATATGCTGTTGAATGTTAAATTAAGTGAAAATGAAAGCGGCGAGTACGTTTCTGTTCTTGATTTACCTGGTGATGTGCTAATCATACCACAAGCTACCCTAGGTGGTAAAGCTAAGGGCAGAAAGATGCAGTACCATGCAAACATTGAAAAAGAAAAAGGGCTGGAACTTTATTCTCAGTTTGTGACTGTGTGTGAAAAAGAACTGGCTGCCAATGCCAAGTGCATGAAAGCAGGTGTTCTCGTCAAGCACGGAACATACGGAAACAGGCAGGTGTTAAAACTGGATACAAACGGACCTTACACTCATCTGATTGAATTCTGAAAAAATAAATGGTAGCCTGGATACAGTACTGGCTTTCAACTGTCAGGGTTTGGTTTTAATTTTTGTCTTTTTATATTTTTTTTTCCTTCTCATTTCTAAGCATTAATGTACATTTGGGAGATACGGTGTAAGAAAAGACTTTCACTCATCTGTACTGGTGTTGTATCTCATTAAATAGAAGGATACCTAAGACTGCTTTGTGATAATGAGTATGTGTTTTATGTCCATATTCATCTGAAGTGTGCTCAAAATAATTGTTAATAGCCATTGAAGATGTATAGTTTGAAAGGCTTTATTAACAAAAATGGGATAATGCATATGTTTCTTACTACAAAATAATGACAAAAATATTACGTGTATTAGCTATTGTAAACTTGAGGAAGTTTATAGATTAAAATCAAAGAATGCTGTAGATGTATATTTGTTCCCAGATTTCCTGAGTCAGACAATTTTTGTCTTTCTGTTTTCTGTCTATAAAATAGCAATGCTTTCTAGCTAACAAATATATTGAAAGTACAAATTCACTTTATTTATGGCCTCTTAGAGAGTTGATACTAAATAAGATAGTCCACCCCCCTCATCCAGAGTGTGCAGGGGTGAGACACTTAAGGTAGTACTAGGACTGAACATGGACTATACAGGGAAGAAAAAGTGAGGCACATCTAGAACCTGAAGTCAAGGCAGTACCACTGAATTGCGTTCTTGAAGTCTGTACTCCGAAATCTCCTCTGATGTGTTTTGATAGGCTGCTTGCTATAGCTTGGTCTGTGTCCTTGTTACCTTGGTCTTGTTGTCTACTCAATTCTTTCATAAGAGAGCCTCAGGAAAAGGACTGAAATATTTAAATGAAAACAAAAATAAAAATGGTTATGATGTATGCTGCCATCTCATTGTTCCCTCAGCCCTTTATGCTTCTTTCCAGCTTTTTGTCTATTAAACCCACAAGGCAGAAACTAGTTTATATTTCCTTTATATAGTGTTGGCACATTTGGGGCCCCATTCCCAGCTGACCCCCTATGCAGTACTGTCATAAATATTATTAACAGATGGTGTTAAGATATAATGGGAAATTCTGTCTTGTAAAGCAGTAAGAACAGAACAGCTACATTAAAATCTGGCAAATTCAAAACTGATTCAAGTGCATTCATCCTATGAGTCCAGTTTCTCTTTTACTGCAGCATCATGTTTTTGAAGTAATTTAGAAGGGTTCAAAGTGAAATTAGACACTTATATGGTTTGAAGTAATTATCCAGAATTCCCATTTAAGTAATAAACTCTTCTGGAAAAGATAAACAACCCCATGGTTAGTGAGCATGTCAGCTTGTGCAATTTTAAATTGTAGGTCAGTAGTTACAAATATTCTGTCCTTATTTTTATTTTTTTAAAAACATAACTGAATGTGTGATCTGCAGGGTCAAACTATGCCATGAGAATCACATTTTTTGAACAGATACAAAGCTCATAGTTTTGATAAGAGAGTAATGAGATTTTTCAGATTAACATAATGTATGGTTAATAATTATGAAACCTAAGGATGTTGAATTCCTAGCATCTGGCACTCTCACAATTGAAAACAACTATTCACACAAATGGCCTGGAAATATTAGCTAGGTCCCAAATGACATATTTATTCATTAATAATTAACAATTATGATAGACACAATATGAGTCTTATTCTAAGTTCTTACTAGTGACATTTAAATAAGGTTGTCCTGATGTGAATAACTAATACAAATTCAATATGATCTATGTGCTTGAAAAAACTTTTTTTTATTCCTCTTTCTGTTGGAGGCCAAATCCTAAAAAGTGCTGAGTAATATCACTTTTCACTGGCCTTACAGGAATTACAGGTATTCAATCTATCTCAGATTGATCCTTTGAAGTATAATACAAAGTCTGCAGTTTTTAATTTATTTTTCTTTTTCCTGGCTCCAAAAAGATCTTTGGCAGCCTGGAAATTCATTCTCTATACTTCAGGAACTCTGCAAGTTCTAAGCAGGATGAATTTGAAAATGTTCATTAAAAAACAGACTTCAGACCAGCTCCATCTCATACTCATCCCTTATATAAAACACTTACAAACTTAGGTATATTTCAGTGGTTCTTGGGACAAAACAGAACTCTGGAGTTTCTGTAAAAAGGTGGCATCCTTGTGTATTATCTGCCTCTTTCTGATTTGTGTATCCATCCTGGAATACTGATTTCTGACATCTTCTGTTCCAGCGATTGGCAGCTTGTTAAATGCTGTGCCTTTTGTACTGCTTTATTTATATCTGCTATTGATTCACAATCCATTTACTGAAAGAAGCCATTTCTGAATGACATGATGGACCATACTGATGAAAAAATTGATTAGAATTATTTCTTCAAAGCCAAATGCTCATTCCTTTCTGCCATGAATATATGCTTTTAACAGATGACCTGACACTGCTTTAAATAGTTTCTATTCTATGACTAGACAAAAGCTTAAATAATTATCCGGTTCTATACTTAGAGAATATCTATTGGAAAGTGCTTAATATTCACCACTTCTTGAAATAAACTCTAAAATCAGGAGTCATCACTATGCTACTCTGATGTGGCCTCCAATTCAGCTGTCACACAGTAATCATTATATCGGGTTTTTGCAACCTTGTTTGCAGCATACACACCCAGTGTGTCTAAGCTGAGCGTGCATGGACTATGAACTGTGCTCATAAAACTAATGAGGTCAGGTGCAGTAGCTTGTTTTCTAGTCAGCAGTATTCCTACTTCCTTCCCATCCCCTTTGTGGAAATATTTACCTCTGCTGCTACATGCAGTATGCAACATACAAATACTAATCTAGAATTGCAAGGTAATAAACAGAATGTAGCCCAGTAATACTAGTAACAATGCTGCAACTGTATTGCTGTTGCTAGTAACAGTCCACAGGCTTTGGCCTGAGTTTACCAGACCTCAGGAGAGAGGTTTACCACATGTGCTTTGAACTTTCCCAAATCTTCCTGGAGCTTTGGTTTTACGTGATTTAGCTGTAACAACGATTTTTTCTAATGACAGGAGATTATGGCTAATTTATTTTGCTTTGTATGGTGTAACCACAGCTTTTATAGAGATGTTAATAATAAGTAGTTATTCTGTGTAGAATGATATATTTATGACCAACATGTTACAGTGTACAGAAATAAAGGCCAGTTAGAACAGCAGCAACCTTGAGAAGTGAAGATACCAGCTGCAGTGTAGAGTAGAGGCATGGGATGGTAAGAGATGGGGCACAGGCTGGCACTGGAGACCCCAAGGTGGTAAACTTGCCAATGGTCAGTTAAAGACATGCAGACCTGGAGCTGGACAAAACTAGTTTTAGGGGTAAAAAGAGAGAAGAAAGAACAAGTAACAAGATAAATAAAATACAAAGTATATACTTGCAGACCAGTGAAGAAAAAGCAAGGTGTAAAACTTTATTAGAAAACTTTATTATAGAGATATTTCCAAAAGAGAAAAAAAGGAGAAAAAGTAGAAGAAACCATAAACACCAACGTCATTCTCCTACTGGCACAGGACCCTGGATGCTAATGATCTGCTGTCTTCCCTCCACCAAATGAAAGCCACAGGGAGGTGAAAGGATAAGCGTGACACCAGGAGAAGGCACAGGTACTAGGTAGTGCATGTGTAACAATTTTAACTAGTAGTATTATTGAGACTTTCCATTCAATTTATTTTTGTTTCCTTTTTTTTTTTTCTGCAATAATTAGATATGGACTACTAATAATTCTTCGGTTAGGTTGCTAAGGTTGCAACTATACTACTAATAAATTCTGTGTGACTTTGCACATAGGGTGGGTTTCTTTTTGCCTGTAAGAAGATTTTGCACATAACAGCTCCTGCAGACTGTTGCTTCCCCACGTTGAAATGGCACTCACTTGATGGACTGCTGGATATTAGTTAGCTTTTGTGATGTTATTCACTGGGTCCTTTAAAGCAGCTGTGATGTCTGATCTCATTTACCACAAAAACTGCATGAAAGTTTATTTCTTCATTGTGACTCAATGCAACCACTGCTTTTTAGCCCCTTCTTGAGAACAATCAGTTCTATCAGTCTGAGGCATGTACTTAGATTTAAAAATATGATCTGGTGAACCTCAATTTCACCTCTGGTATAAAAACAGCTTGTTTGAGGAGGGGGTATGAATCTTTTAAGCCTCCATTATTTTCTGCTTTTAGTCTCTAACAGTTTCTTCTTTGCTATATGGTCTCCTTCAAAAACATTACACCTTCCTGAAGCCAGAGTAGCAGTATGCCAGAGTGGCCTCCAGAAATGCACAGCTCTGTTACCTGAGGTCTCCTCCTATGTGATGGGCTTAATTCCTTAACTTCTTTGCATCTCAGTTCTCATCTAATAAACGGGTATTGCGTTTTTTTCACTGTGTCACTACTTAAGACTGTGCATTGAGCAAAACAATGACTATCACTATGTTTAGTGTATTGCACAGCACAGTGAGGCTGCACATCAGTGAGATCCACCAGCTACTTTAGAAATCAGGTCACAACTGCTGGATGAGAACAGAAATCAGAGCTGCCTCCTTAATCTCTTTCTTGGGAAAACAGCACCTAAAATTTGAGACTCTTTCTAAAGATTTTAGTGAATTTAGTATCTCCTATTCCTTTTTTCTCCTATTTTCTTGAAGTTCCTTGAAAGCAACTCAGAATTTGGGAATCCCTACAATATTCTGCTACCAGAAGTTCTGTGCAAGTACAGTTGAAAAGTAAATGGTGTATGTGGACAAGAGAAAGAAACAGCAGTTAGAATAGCTTGAATAATACGAATGTATTGCACATTTTCTATTTAAACTAATGCTGTGCACTAGTTCAATTACTGCCAGTGTGTGGCTTTGGGCAAAGCAATTTTCTGCTCCACTTTTTCCATCTGTGAGACAAAGAAAGAGTGAAAACGGAGGAAAAAGAGGTTTAAAACCACTACCTTTTTCCTCTTTTACTAAAGGCAAAAAATGACCTCTGGTTCTCTTTTTGCATTGGAAGACGGTACACTCACCTCTTTTCACCTTTGC